ATCCCTTGACGGAATCATTGGGAGGAAATAAAAGGATGCCTGTGAAGTGGGCCCTTTTTACCCACCTCTTCTTCCTGCTAAAATGGAAACCTCTTAGGTGTCCAATTTTTAGTGTTCCTATGTTGGCTAAGGGAGTAACTTTCCTCAAGGTCCAAATAAGGAACCATCACCCATGCAGAACAAAAAGCAAACAGAAAATATCACAGTGGAATCAGGACTTTGGCTTCTAAACATTTCCCCATTTTATAGCTTCCTTATGTTTTCAGATTCTTTTTTTGGCTTCCCTCAGTCAGCACACTCCCTGCATAGATAAGTCCAACACAGTGGGTAACAGATCATCCATCTTGGAGCCTGGATCTTTAAAGCAAAATCACACAGGAACACATCTATACACACACGCACACATGTACGCATCACTGTCAAGGGTAATTTAGGAGAACCTTGCCGAGCGATTGGGGTAGCTGAATATGGTTGTCAACATGTATTCTGTGCTTCTTCTGGTGAATCTGAGCAGACTATCCTTGTTTCTCCTAAATTCCAAAGCCAAACTTCCAATATCATTTGTCCCTTTTGCAGGTGCACTGGTGAACCTTTTCACAGAATGGGGTGGGGGCTGAAACTAAGGAATCATGGAGTCCGAATACTAAAAAGGACCTAAGAAAATATCCAGTCTAAGCACCTCAACTGCCAGGTGACACAGAACTAAGGGGCCCCAGGTGACATGACCAATTTTTGCCGTCCCCATCAGGCACATTCCCATTTTTCAGAGGGCACCTAACACTCTGCCATAACTCCCCTTGAGGAACCCATGCCTGAAAGGTGGCTTTTATAAACTTCCTTTTCACACTCCACAACAGGGATGAACAAGGACGAACCCCCCCCCCACACACACACACACACACACACACACACCGGGAGAGGTAAACTGCATATTACTACTATCAACATACATCCACAGAGAAAGATTTAATAGCAGGATGGCTGAAGGGGAGGAGTAAAAAGAGACGAGAAGCAGGAAGGGAGTGGATGAGCAGGAGACAGAGAAAGAAAGAAAGGCTGAGGGACAGTCCACCTAGAGTTCAGGGCCTGGGCTGCCCTGAGGAATAGGCTCCCAGGGAAGGTCACAGCTTCTCCCCAATATGCATACACCAAGGTGGCCAAACCCCTTAGTTCAGGCTAAAGGCAGAACTGGTCTGGTTTCCTCCCTGTGTTTTCAGAACCCCCTGCTATCTGAGCAACACTCTTGGTCCTACAGACTAGGAGTCAACGGTATCTGGAGAGAGAAGGTGGCTCAACTTGGACATAAGCCAATCTGTTCTTTAAAATTTCACACCAAATCTATAAATCACATGTTGGCATTGTGGGCCAACCTGATTTTTTTTTTTAATATTACGTTACTTTGCTTTATTTTGTTTTAGAAACTTTACTGGGGAACACTGTGTTTTTCCAGGACCCATCAGCTCCAAGTTAAGTAGTTGTCCTCAATTTAGTTGTGGAGGGCGCAGCTCCTTGGCCCATGTGGGAATCAAACCGGCAACCTTGGTGTTATGAGCCTGTGCTCTAACCAACTGAGCTAACTGGCTGCCCCGACTCCAAGTTGAGTAGTTGTTTCAGTCTAGTTGTGGAAGGTGCAGTTTCGTGTCCCATGTGGGAATCGAACCGGCACCCTTGGTGTTATGAGCCTGTGCTCTAACTACCTGAGCTAACCGCTGCCCCATGTTACCTTGCTTTTTGCCAATTGCAGGTTTCATGCCCAACCCTTCTCCCCACACCCATCCTGACATCACCTGAAGCCTTTTCAAGAGACTCAGGAGTTACTGACCCTCTGAGAGCCTGCTGGTCTCCCCAAGCCTTGTTACGGTACAAAGCAACAAAATGAAATATGGCACATGTGCTATCATGGTATAACTTTTAATTGCTTGACTGCATCAGAGATTTAAAGAAGGAAAGATTCAAGAGTTTCCTTTGAATGAGATATATAAGGATATGCCAAACCGTATGAGGTCACTAATCATAGGAAGGAAGCTCTCAATATTTACATATGATAAAAATGCAGGCCAGGACATTAAAAACAATAAGTACTCTTTAAAATTTCAATTCACTATATTATGAGCTTTTATTATCCAGGTAGTCCTATGAAGGACATAGAGGATCTCCTTATCCAACTTAATTCAGGTCAGGGTTGGCTTAAAAAACAAAATACCACCACACAGGACAAAGAAATTGCCATAAAATTGAGTTAGTATATAAATGTGTTCCAGTTTAAGTAAATAAGCCCTTATAATGGGCCTTAGGAAAGTCTACGCTGCACACACACAGGCTCAGGCACACTAAGTATACAGGTGACAATTAGCAAGTGTGAAAAGCTATGGTCATTCGCTAACTGTGTAAATCTAAAGGCAACCAAGAGAAAAGACCTAAAAAAAGGAAACTGTTAAATCCATTTGTACATGGATTTAACAGTGAAGCATTTCATTCTTCATGTTTTTACTTGGTGTCTTGAAATAATCCCCTTTCTGTCTCCACTCTCCCCCTTAGAAACTGTGCCCGCCTTATTTATTTATGAAGTCTGAAGGTTAGTCCTACCTGCTGAGACTAATTAGTCCTGTGCTTTGTATCCTATTCAATCCTGTCTGATTAAATGTACACATTTGTTTTACTTCTTTTCAGGCTCCTTCTCACTCCACTTCTGATTTTCTGATTAATATTAAAGTTGGGAGTTACAGTCATTCTCCTCCATCACCCCTCCCCCCACCACATTTTTATTTTGCCTGCATCTTACTCTTTAGTGTGCAAATGTGGTTGTGAATTTTTTCCATTGCAGGGGAATTCATGGGCCTTGTCAATCCTGGTATCATTATTTTTAGTAGTCTTCTTTCTGAGACCTTAGCTTATAAAACATTTTTGCTGAAACCCCAAACTCTTCTAAATGTTATGTGGTAAATTTGTTTTCTTTTGGAAATCTTAGGTGCTAATAATGGGCTGGCTGAAAAGAAGGTGAGATATTTTTAGGGATGGGCAGGTTAATTTAATACATCACGGACTCTAGACCAATACTGTTCCTAATAGACAATTGGCTAATTCCTATCGATATCTTTTTTTTTTCCCCCTGATTCTTTTGGTCCCCTTTTCATGTTGTAGTTTCCAGGCTACTTCTCACTGCATTTTGGCAAGAAAATGAGTATTCTTGCTCCATCATCCAGGAACACTGTGTTTTGGAAGCCAGGCCTTTTCCCCTTTGACATAATTTTGTTCCCCATTTTATAGCAAATCAATCTGCTCCCCAGGAGTGCCTAAAAATCAACAAATACCTGCCTCAAGCCCCAGGTTTTCCATCTCCTCCCTGAGGTCTTCCAGCATCAGCTTGGTTAGCAATTTCCTGCCAGAGCCATCTACATCTTGATTGTTTGGTCAGTCTTTCCCGGATTTCATTTCAGACCCCCTTGGAGAAAGACTCCAGCACCTCTGACCCCAGAGGTTGGTGAACTTTCAGTTTTATTTTCCCTGACGGTGTTAACGCCCAAACTTTTCACCTCCAAAGTCAGAAAGGACTTTGAATCCTAGCTCATTTCCTACCACCTCCAACGTCAGTTAAAAAAAACCCCAAAACATTCTATATTTAAAATAATCATGTATTTTTCCTTAAAGATATTTTTAATGCCCCTCACACACACTAGAGTATTTGATTGTTTTTTGGATAAAAACTCATCTTGGCATATTTATTCTAGTGAGACATTTAATGAAATGATTCACTGTTAATAAACAAAAAAGGGAGGGAAGACCTCGTGGGTTAATGGTTTCTTTCACTGCAGATGACCAGGAACTCTGCCCAGCCCTCCACTTCCCCAAGCCCTCGGAAAGTGGAGGGTTGATCTTTCCTTTTGACCAACCACTTCTGTTACATACCGCCCAAGGGTGGCTGATTTTACTGCTGGATTTACCACTAAGCAACCCCCCTCCACCCCCCCCACACACATCCATTCCCCACAATACTCTCCTCCTCTTCCCTTCCTCCAGACTTATTGCTAATATTTCTAAAGTGCACTTTTTCAGGGCCTTTCCCCATCCCCGCCCCCCAAGTGGGCTTTCCTTCCGCCTTCCTAGGCTCGGATTCCTGACTCGGTCGCCACCCCCTTCCCCTCCTCTCCCACTCCGCATTGTCTTTCTGAAGCCGTCCCCCTCCCGGAGCGAGTCCCGGTCCCCTCGCCCAGACTCCCGGGCTTGCACTCTCAGCGCAGGCCTCTCCCCCAGAACACTCCTCCCTCCGTCTCTCTCCCTCCTCCTCCCCCGGCCCTCTCCTCCTCCCTCTCCCAGCACCGAAAGGATCATTGTTAGCCTCCCCCGCCCCGCCCACCCCGGCTGTTTATTTATGCACACGTCACCCGGCCGGCCCCGCCCCCGGCATCTCATTAAGCGAGTGTGTTCCTCTCGCCCTGTCAATAATCTCCGCTCCCAGACTACTCCGTTCCTCCGGATTTCGATCCCCCTTTTTCTATCTGTCAATCAGCGCCGCCTTTGAACTGAAAAGCTCTCAGTCTAACTTCAACTCACTCAAATCCGAGCGGCACGAGCTCCTCCTGTATCTTCGGCTTCCCCCCCCTTTGCTCTTTATATCTGACTTCTTGTTGTTGTTGGTGTGTTTTTTTTTTTACCCCCCTTTTTTATTTATTATTTTTTTGCACATTGATCGGATCCTTGGGAACGAGAGAAAAAAGAAATCCAAACTCACGCGTGCAGAAGATCTCCCCCCCCTTCCCCTCCCCTCCTCCCTCTTTCCCCTCCCCAGGAGAAAAAGACCCCAAAGCAGAAAAAAAAGTTAACCTTGGACTCGTCTTTTTCTTGCAATATTTTTTTTTGGGGGGCAAAACTTTTTGGGGGCATTTTTTTTTTGGCTTTTCTTCCTCCTTCATTTTTCTTCCAAAATTGCTGCTGGTGGGTGAAAAAAATGCCGCAGCTGAACGGCGGTGGAGGAGATGACCTAGGCGCCAACGACGAACTGATTTCCTTCAAAGACGAGGGCGAACAGGAGGAGAAGAGCTCCGAAAACTCCTCGGCAGAGAGGGATTTAGCTGATGTCAAATCGTCTCTAGTCAATGAATCAGAAACGAATCAAAACAGTTCCTCCGATTCCGAGGTAGGAAAAGCCCCTCGGGCTGGTGGGGTTTTTAATCTAGTTCCCGGGTTTGGCAAATGTTGCTTCAAGGGGAGAAATCGGGGCCGGGGGCGGCGGCGGGGCGCCGCGGGGCCGGGCGGGCGGCGTGTGCGTGCGGTGCCACCATTGCAAAAACTTGTAACCCTGTTTTTGTCTCCCCCCCCTCCCAAACCCCCCGACCCCTCTGGCTCTTTTTCTCCCCCTTTTCCCCCCCGCTCTGCGTGGCGTTTGCCCCTCGCCCTCCCCACCTTCACCCCTCCGGGAAGGCGGAAAGACGGCCTCCGCCGCGCTCCGAAAGTTTCCGAGATAAATCCCGGGAAAGTTTGGAAGAAGGTGAGTACGCCCCGCGCGCCCCGCAGCCGCCCGGAGCTGCCCCCCGGGCCCGCCTCCCCGCGCGCCCCGGCCCGGTGTCCCGCTCGGCCCGGCCGTGCGCTGGCCGGGCAGGGGCGCCCGGCCCCTTGGGCCACTTTCTAAAAAGTTTCTCCTCGCTCTCTCCCGCTCCGCGCGGCCGCCGCCGTCCCCTCGCCGCCCCGCCATGTTAGCGGCCAAGAGGCAAGATGGAGGGCTCTTTAAGGGGCCACCGTATCCCGGCTACCCCTTCATCATGATCCCCGACCTGACGAGCCCCTACCTCCCCAACGGATCGCTCTCGCCCACCGCCCGAACCGTAAGTGCCTCCGCGCCCGGCCCCCGCCCGCTGCCCGCCAGCCCGGCCCC